ATCTTTTTCGTTGTCCATCTTCCATGCGTCTTTTCACTAAGCAACTCAAATCAAAATGAAGTTATTTTATGCTTGATTTACAGTTCGGACTGTCACCTTTCCAACGATATATAATATGTATATATTTCTTTCACGAGCGCCACTCTCAAACGATTCGAACAGCATCTAGCGGAATCGGGCACGAACTTATGCACTCATCCAATAATATTTTCGATGCTATTCGTAAGACAAGCCGTTCCGTGCATGTTTAGCAAAAAAAATTATCTGCCGATATTTGAAAAGTTCGCATTCATTACTCTCGCTATGAACCCACTAATGTTGCTGCAGTTCGATTAATGCATCTGCTTACTTTTGTTTTAATTTTTTTCCTCAAGAAATTAAAGACTCTTTGTTCCTTTAGCGGTTCAGGTGTTGGTGTTGGCTTTTTAACTTAAAAAAAAATAATATCTGCTTACAATTCTAAAACTCTAGCAGTTTTATATGCATTTCCAGTCAAAAGCTAATTATTATTTTTATGTGGAATCAGAAAACTTGCAACTCTCTGGATTGTGCGCCCTTAGTAGTGGCTGAACCTTTCTGCCAGTCGTTGGCGCTAAAACGTAATAGCATTACCCCCTTCCGGCGTTTTTCAGTATTTTAAAAAGGTGATCATGCTGTCCATAAACTCTTAATTAATTAGCAAATTAGCCACCATACTACCGATTTGTTCACATAAGGGGATAAAATATTCGTAAAAAAGCATCCAAGAACCGGAAATTTGATATTCTGCACACCTAAATTGGAGACAGCCCCAATAGCTGAGTGACTACCATTACGTATAACCTACCGAGTCCTAATTCGACCAAGATTTCGAATTATTTAATGAGCTTCTGGTCTCAAAATCACGCATAACTACAGCTCGGTGCGATGGCGCATTATTGCCATGAAAGTTTCCGAAGTTCCCGAGTTTTTTTCCAACTTCTTCGGCATTTTTTTAATTCATATAGAAAAGACAGTCATATAAAAAAAAATTTATTCGACTGCTTTAGATGCATTGCACCACCAGCAGCATTTCACGAGTTCAGGCAGCAGCCGCTACAGAAAACTCAACACAACTTTGGAAACATGCAATATTTTTTGATACCAAAAATTGTTTTTCCGAAGGTTAAATTGCATATATTATTATATGAAAATATCGTTTAGATCAATATATTCATTCCATTCAAAAAAATTAGCTGAATAAACGCTTTTCTTCGGGTTCCAAATGAGATCACTGCCTTAAGTTATATATCATAAAAATCAATTTGAAATTTTATGCGTTTATATATAAAAGAATTAACAATTAATTATTAAAAAATTACATATCCCGTAGACGAAATTTATTTAATTTGCAATTTTTAATATACGAAATCCTTCAAAGTCCTTCACTTTGATCTTGATTAATTTTGTTGAAATTCTTTACGTTGTTTTTCAATAAAAGTACAAAAAAAGGTAAAAAAAAAATTGAATTAACTCAAAAAAAATGATTAGGAATTCATATTTAGTTTCAAAACGTTAAATTTTACATATTTATTTATTTGTTTCCACTAAACTCTTTAACCGACTAATATACACATATTTTTTTTTATAATCCATTAATTAATTATACCAAAATATTTCTGCCCTTTTTAATAGTTCTTTTTTAACAATAACAATGTTCTTCACTGTATCACTGCATCACTGCATCACTGTGCAAGAGATTTACCCTCTCTCGCGCCAACACTTTCAAACTCACCAATTTGTTTTTGAGATTTTTTTGTTTTCTCCAAATATATGCTTTCTGCCTCCCAAGAGCACTGTGGCTTCAACTATGCGTTCGCACAGCAAATGTACTACTAAATTCGTTAGCGTAACTTCTGTTAATTTTATTAAATAAATAATATTTTATTAGATTATTGCAGAAAAAAAAATTAATTACACACGTTTAGGGGGCTTTGCAAATCGAGCACTTTAGATAAGTACTTTTAATGCTCATATCACTTGTTAACTAGAAAGGTGTCATATGTACATATGTATATACATATGTACTGGTACCCTAAGAACAACGTGAGCTCTCCAAACATGTATGTATGTAAGACATACTCCACGCGGGCATAACTAGCCGCAGTTCATACAAAAAATGTGATCTAATTGACATTGAGATGTCCCAGTGCAACACCATTTATTCTACCATTGCATAAGATCCGAGAAATCCATAGAAATTATACCAAAAAGACATTCAATGAAGTATCTAAATTAGATTACACTATGAAGTATTTGTGATTTCTCCGGGGCAAATGAGCAAGAGGTTATTGGCAAGACGAAAGCTTCCGAATCCATCGGTCACTACGAAATAAGCATGTTGAAGCTAAAACATCTGAGACCAACGAGGTATTCAACCTGTCTTTGACCACCCTAATCATAACCGAGGGATTTCGTTACTCAAACCGGTGAAAGCAGCCAAGATAGGAGAATCATATCGGACGATATTTCTCCTTCTTCAGTAGCGAATATAATAGAGGCCTTGCTCGATAGTCATCGTAGAGCTTCGAAGTCGAACCACCAAACTCCGTAAAATTAAATGAAAATGTTCTGAAGAGTGGTGTCCACTCCTCTGAAGGGTGACGTCCTCTTCCCTCCTTCACCAGTGGGCGTTTCATTGATCTCATACGCCGATGATTGGTCGATATTGGCTTCCCGCCAGGATATTGATAAGTTATGTTCGAATTTTCCCACATCCCACTTCTACGCTGCTCGACAATCACAGCTACAAGATGCGAGGTTGAAGGGAAAACCGACTAGAACTTGATTGGAATTGGAAATTGATGACGTAAAACTTCCGTTAACTAAAAACCTAAAGTTACAGGGAGCTGCATCCGCCAGCATGCACTCATTCACTCCGCACACGACTGCGATTGCCACAAATGTACAGAGCCACAACAAAGGTATGACACCGTTAGCCGGCCCTACAAGCTCGGTCGGATGTAAAATACACTGGACATGAGGAACTGGCGAGCAGTAAATAAAGCAGCTAGAAGCATGTCAGGACTGGTACGGACAACCTTTACTAGGCATATCAGGAGGGAGTATACGACCCCTAGTACTGCGGCGTGCCGTCGTGCTTTAAGTGCCTTTTCTTTAATTTATATCAACGGCGATCTCACAATCCAATCACCATCTAATGCAGACGAAGAACTCGAGCTGCTTTCGGAGACCCGAGTAAAACTGGCACAATTCCAATCTCGATATACCCAACTTATGTTCTGCATGCAATGAGACCGCGCACGATACAAACCACTTCTGTGCATGTCCCTTAAAACCCGCTCAGCTAATCCGTATTAACTCCGGTCAGAGTATATATATGAGTATATATAGTTGATACAATCTTAGCCAAAGCGGCTGAAAAAATTAATCTAGTTTATAGGCTCGATGCTGTAAACGAACGTGTAGCACAAAAGGTGCGCCGATTTTCCATCTGCGAATCCCTGCTGAATCGCCACAAAATCGGCACGTTTCTGAAGCGAGTTGTAACTGGCGATGAAAACTGGGTCACTAAGCGAAAACATCGAGCGCAAACGGTCGTGGTCAAAACTCAGGGAAGCGGCCCAGATGGTGGCCAAGACCGGATTGACCGCCAGGAAGGTTTTGCTGTATGTTTGGTGGAATTGGCAAGGAATCATCTATTACGAGCTGCTACCCTATGGCCAAACGCTCATTTTGGCTCTCTACTGCCAACAAATGGACCGCTTGAACGCAGCACTCATACAGAAGAGGCCATCTTTGATCAACAGAGGCCGAATTGTATTTCACCGGAACAACGCCAGGCCACACACGTCTCCGGTGACACGCCATAAGCTCCAGGAGCTGAGTTGAGAGGTCCTAATGCACCCACCTTATAGTTTGGACCTGGTACAAAATGCTCGCTTAAGAGAGGCCTGTGAAAATTAGGTCTACGAGTTTTTTGCCAATAGGGAAGCAGCCTTCTACGAGAGGGATATAATGGAGTTAGCATCTCGTTGGCAACAAGTTTACGAACAAAACAAAGTTAGCATATTTTGATAAATCAATAAAGAAACCGAAGGAACTTTTTACTTGACCATATGTGAAAAGTATATAATAAATAATTATAATGTTAAAAATATTGCTCAGGAATTGTCCATAAATCGCCTGCTCATATTTTAGGCTTTCTGTTACTTCGTCCTTCCCTTTATGTAGCCCAATGTGACCTTTGCTGTGACCCTCCTCCCTGAAATGCTTATTTTATTATACAATTTGAACCGCGGCATAAAATAAGAAGCACGACACCATTCAAATCACCGCCTCTAGAGTTTTTGCAAATTTCGATCCATTTGAGATTATTTTCGACCACTTTTTGGCGCATATTGGGCGATATCCCAGCCACAACTTGACGGATGGATGGTGGTTTTTCTCAGGTGTAAAAAATTTGTCCGCACAAAGACGGTCTTCCGACGGCAGCCCATAGTCCAACGGTGTCAAATCTCCACACCCCGCTGGAGGCGAGAGATTATTAGGCTGGGAAATTTCTTTCGCAATAAAGCCATATTCGCTCGTTGTGTGGCATGTGGCACCAACCATCATGTTGAAACCATATATTGTGCAATTGCAGAACAAAACTTCTCAGAGCGCCAAACGTGTCAAGTAGAGAGTGAGAAATGTAACTCGTTGCTGTAAAAAACTATGTTCGAAAAATCGCCTTACTGTGCTGTAAAAAAGTTACAGCTCTTGAGAACGTCGAGAAATAGACATATAACGGTTTTCGGCTACACTTTCACTTACAGTAGCGATATTTGAGTTGGAATGAGCAAAAAGATGTTGCACAGGTCATAAGATATCTGTAACCGTTCCCGGTCTTTTCAACTCTCATTGAAATTCTTCCAATTATTTGAGTTGTTGGAGTATTTTGTGCACCAAAATCTCCTTTTAAAGCACAGTAGTAGTAGATTTTAACAATTTCAACGGGTTGAGCAGTTGTTAAACACATTTCACTAGTTTTTTCAATCGAATTTAAAATATATTTCGTTGATTTTTTACATTTTTTTTTTTATTAGAATAATATTCAAATTCACAAGACTTTTGCAAAAAGAGAAAATACAAATACAAAATTACAGTTGGTGAATACAAATTTAATATGCTGGTGAGAGCATTGGTTCACCAGCAAGTCCACGCAACACATTATGTGCTGCTATAACAGCCATATCGGCGCGAGTACGCTGCGTAGCCGAGCCCAAATGAGGCAGCAGAACTGAAAAGAGGAAATAAAACGAGCAAATGAAATATTTTAAAATTAAGACATTTTGTGTAAAAACCATTTGTTTTCCATCATTTTCAGTATTTATTTTGAATAGATTTTTTTTGTGTTATATGTGATTTATGTTTAAGAATAAAAGTATGAAGTTACGACAACCGTTGACGTCACCAAACCAACTTCGTCATATATACAGTGGGCGGGGTTTTATATTATATAATAAAAAGAAATAAGTTTTTTTCTTTCAAAAATATTTATGTATGTAAACGGCTGATTCAATAAGGACGTCACGGTAAGAACTTGCTATGTAGTGATGGCAAGCCGTTTTAAAGACTAGCCATATCAAGGTCGTGTGCTCCTCTATATTTCCTCGGTCAGAGCCTTATTTTTAAGTCGATTGCAATAACCGCAGCGAGACAAGCGAATAACTGTGTGTACTGCCCTTCAAAAGACCACAGTTCGATACCTGGTCCGACCAACATCCAAAAATTATAGAAAATTTATTAAAACAAGAAAGTTAATCTGATTTTTTTCAATTGCGTTCACCCCTCGGCAAGGAATGTTAATCCGTCCGTTCGCAGGCGGCTTAGTATAAACTTTTCCATTTGTTGGCAAAATATCTAGACGTACACCACAAATTAGAAGAGGAGCGGCGGTTACAAAGCCGGTTCGACTTTTAACTAGAGCATCGGCCACATGGTTTCCTGGAATGACCTTGTGTCCGGTGATCCAAACATTGACTTTTACTGTCACTTTAGGCGTGATGGGATTGCGTTGAAGAGATTTAGGCGTTTCCTTTATTTTAGTTAGAATTTATTGAAAAAGAAAAACAACTCTGCAGTACTTGGTTAGTCTCTTGCTTATAGCGATTACGGACTCTGAAGTTCGAAGCAGCTCACGCTGTTAAAATGTTTTAAGCTGCCGATTGTGACTCTTTGATCAAATACTGTTGGTTGGTTGGTGGGTTGAAAGTGGAAGGTGAGGATCTGACCCCCCGCGTTCGCATTTAAGCTATTGAATAATTTCCTATTGTGAAAGTGGCTCAAAACGTCAGGTATCCTCTACTAGTCACTGTTTTAGGCAACATCTGAAGGTGTTCCAGGGACTTCTACATCTTTTTTGACGTGGGTTCCACGTAATATTCACTGTGATTATCCGTCTATGTTTGTTGCTTGCCTCGTTAAGTATCCTCACACATTTGGACTTTGTGCCGACCTACTACGTAATCGACTTAGCTGACTGTCTAGTGCTCTTACTTGCTCTAGTGCTCTTACCAACAAACACAGAATGTTGAGTTAAGCGGCACACCTAGTGTGAAATTTCAAGAAAAAATCGATATTTTTTCCATATTTCGGTAAATTACACCTTTAAAAATAACATATGTATATTTCAAATCGATATCTCAAATCGTTTTTGAGTTATAGCAATTTAAAGAGCGCCGCTCGGCAGCTAGAGAGTCTCATTAGCTACGAGTGAAAACGATCTTTTTATCTTTAAACACGTTTTTCTCGAAACAGGATTTTCCAAATTTGCTGCAGCGATTACTCAAAAACAAATGATCCGATCACTATCGAATTTTTTTTACATGTTCTATATATAATTCCCCGTACAATGACCTATCGATTTTTGCTCTGATCAAAAAATCGAATTTTGGCAGACCAAAAACGACCAAAATGTTGGGTAAAAATCGAAAATTTTTTTTTAAACGACGCCATACTGTCAATTTTTAATTTTTTTTGTTGTAGGTCATTGTACAGACAATATTATCTAGATTAATGAGAGCTTTTTTTTAGATTTCATCCACGGAGGAGGCCGGAATCACTGCAGCAGTGAAGTACCTTTTTTTCGCGCCGTTGGAGATCAGATGGACCATTTGAGGTAAGAATATAATAGTTGGTGGGATTTGAGCATGATTATTTCATATTAAACATTTGTAAAGGGTGATCTTTTAGCTGTAATCTCTTCGCCAACATTGGTTTGAACAGCTGAGGCTCGGCACAGACAAGCCCGCTTCAATTGACGCCTTGGAGGACAACATTGAAGCAATTATTCGTGAGTTGTGGGACACCGACCGAAATGTTGGAAAGAATATGCCAAAATTGGACTAAGCGGATGGACCATTTGAGGCGCAGTCGCGGTCAACATTTGCATGAAATAATCTTCAAACATTAAATTATATGGACCGTACTATCGATTCACATAAATATTTAATGGATTTTTCTGAATTTTATGTGTTTTTTTTCGAAAAACTTTCCTATAGCTCTTAAAAAATCACCCTTTATATGTCATTGCGTCTTCTGTGCCCTCCAACTGTGATTCTCAAATAAAACCTATTTATGTCAACAAGGTAATCTAAGGAGGGGCTCAGAAAGCATGCCGTATTTATAGGTTAGAACCAGAGGAAGAACAAAAATATGACTAATGACGTTCCATAAGTGAGCTGTTATTTGAGTGAGACTTATATCAGCTAGATAAGCTTCCGATGGGCACTGCAATTTGAAAAAAAAATTAGTTTTATACAGTTTTAGTTGTTGGTCGGACCAGTCGCATCTTCCGCATGGTAATATGTACTGCCAACCACTCGGTTGGGGTAGAAAGTTGGTGCAGATATTAATTGCATCTTGGGAATAGTATTCGTGATATATCAGTGGAGGTCTTTTTCTGTCTCAACTTTGTATTGATCACTTCTCTAAAACTATTCTTCAACACTTGACTGAGATGCGGTTTCATATTGTAATTAATTTAAATTAAAATTTAAAAATATAATTTTTCCAAAATACTCCCCAGCAAAACCAGCTGTTACTACATACATACATACATACATACATACATACATACATACATACATATAACACCTTGTTTTATTGCAAAGAATAACGAAGATGATTATAAAATAAACGTAAATTGAAACTAAAGTGAAAATGATAAGATAAAAATGGAATCAAAATTATTTATTTTCGCATCTCTTTTTGTTGTTATCAACGCCAAAAAAAAAACTGCTGATAGCACTTTAAAGTTTCTGCACTTAAAAAATGAATGCAGATAACAGAAAATATCTTGATTTGAAAATATTTTGATTTTAATTTCCGAAAAGAGATTGACATTAACACAAAAGAAAGATCTTTTCTTTAAAATTGAATAATTTTCATTTCAAAAACACAAGATACTTTAAGAATTCTGCCGTAAAACCTCTGTCTTCGCTTTTCTTTTGTCATCACTTTATTTTATCACTCAAATAAATATGCTTCTAAAACACCGTTATTGATGCCAAAGCTTTAGAATCGTTATCTCTTTTCATGCACGATGATAAGACGTGAGTCCAAAGTTAGCTTTCAATGAGCCTACACCGAAATAATCGGGATTATGGTCCAAGTGTTTAAGGAGATCTATGGGAAAAGGCTCCTTGGCAATATATTATCAAGTAAAGAATGTGGCAAAATATTGGCAAATTTCGAATTTCTACTAACAACATCTCAAGCGGCCAAAAAACAAAATGCTGGAAGTCGCTCTGGGGTGCCAAATTTCTTGCAAAGCCCAAGGAATTTTAATGTTTTCCTAGCACTTTCTCACCGAGAGCAACGAAAAATTATCAGATAAAGCTCAAACCTTACCAGAACTTGCGACCAAGTTACGCAGCTGTGGAGAATAAATAGTCAAAAAAAAAAAAAAAAATTGATGAAAGAATCTCATCTTTTGCAAAGGCAAAAGCAAGCACGTCCACGATTTGCTGAGGAGCACATATACGTCAATTGGAATACAGTAAGTTATTGCGCTGGAAGCTAAAGTTCTTCCCTGTGACACTACTTGTTGTAAAGGTTATCTTCTCGGACGAAAAAAAAATGGATTCGGGGACTTTTATTAATGCAATTTAATACGAGGAAAGAAGTCTTTTATTGTGTAAGAAATCTTCTTTAAATAAGATAAAACAATATTCATTATCCGCACTTCTTTTAACAATGTACTCACCAAGATTCGGTAAACTCAATAGAGGATCGTTGGCGGGCAAGGGTTCAGGAGTCATGACATCCAAACCAGCAGCAAATATTTGATTTGTCTTCAAGGCTTCATATAAATCTTGTTGATTCACAATACCTGAAAGCGATTAAATTTATTAATAATAGAGTCTACATTCTTTATCGCTCTCTCTTTCTATTTTGTCCCTTACCTCCACGTGCGATATTCACCAGCACAGCGGTCTTCTTCATCTTACCGAAAGCCGTGGCATTGAAAATACCAGCGGTTTCTTTTGTCAAGGGCGAGGCAATGATAACAAAATCACTCTGCGACAGCATGGTGTCAAAATCTACCTTCTTGGCATTGTACTCTTTTTCGATATCTTCAGATACACGGCGGCGTGTTGTGTAGAGAACACTATCAATGTCGAAACCAGATAGACGTTTGGCAATTGTTTGCGCAATGCCACCAAAACCAAAGAAACCGACAACAGAGTCACGCACATCCTGACCCAACATCCAGTTGAGATGGCCGCCTTCCCACTTGTCACTAAATCACACGAATATATGTATATATTTAATTATTATAGTTTAGTATTTAGTTTAGTATTTAAGTAACAAAACACTTACGTTTCAATCTTCAAACGACCTTCATGGAAACGACGCGCTGCTGCCAGTAATAAGCCCACCGCTGTATCAGCCACCGCGTTATTTAGCACAATAGGTGTGTGACCAAGTGGTATCTTGCGACGCTTCACCTCTGCCACATCTACATAATCGATGCCAGCAGACATTGTTGAGATCGCTTTCAGTTGTGGGCCCGCAGCATCGAGAGCCTCTGCGTTAAGCGCGTCATGACCACCCCAAAGCAATGCGTCCACACCTTTTGATTTCTCTAAAATCTCCGCCCGTACTGTTGGCACATTCTGGCAAATAATCACTTCACAGTCGCGCGTTAATAAATCGATGCCCTCTTGTGGCACTTCGGGATGTGTGACTAAAATTTTGAATTTCTTATTTTCATCGGACATTTTAACTTTAGTTTTCGAAATAGTTGTATCGGCAGTGGTTGCAGTGATGACGTTGACGTTGAGTAGCGTGAGAAGGGAAATTTGTAGGATAGAAAAATGTTTTATTAACATTTTGTGATTTGTTTTATAAAAATTTAAAATAAATTTTGAAAATTCTCGTCACAAATGAAAAGTTAATGCTCTTTGTCTCACGACGCATGAAAACGAACTGAAATTCGTTTGCAAAACTGAATAGTAATTTTCTTTCAAAACCGGCTTGGCAGTAGAACATAAAATTTCTCACTTACAACTAGTTCTTAGTTCACTCTTTCTGCAATTGTAAGCGACGTAGCGCACAAGTCTGGTGTCCAATAAGCCGCGCTGCCGCCAAAGAAACATTTCTTCTCTACCAAAGTGTGCTGCATCTAGGAAACAGCAATTGTCGTCTAGTTTGTAGCCACTAGCTGAGTAAAATGCTTTAGAAGAGCTTTTGAATGCTAGCAAAGTTTTAACGTCTCCGAGAGCAGAACTTTTAGCATTTATTCTTATCAAGCTTGTGACACACTCTGCTAAGATTAATCTCAAACAGTGGAGCGGTTACGCCAATATTTGTTAAAAATATTTTTTCATTGTATTTGAAGAGAATAAAATCAATTCCATACATATTTCTTGAGAAAATTCGGATTTCGGAAACAAAATTTAAGCAATGCGTAATCATCTTTTGAAATATTAAAAGAATTTTTATCAAAATGACATTTACTAAGTGGGTGATCTTAATTTCTCGAAAATAGCGCAATAAATAGGTTTCAAATATCCGCTGATAATGGACGAAGGAATTAGAAAAAATGTTTAATTATTAAGAGTTTCATTGAAAAGAACATTTTTTTTTTCAAATTGAAGCTATTTTGTTAACAAAAAAATTATTTTTTTTATTTCCTTGATTCTTATTTTTCTGATTAGTCTATTGATTAAAACGATCCATCTTGAAATCGCGGAACATACCGATGTTATTAACAAAAGATTTAGAAATAAAGATTTTACTAAGGTTATTTCGACTACTGTATCGCTTCCGTGATATGAAAATGACATCAAAATTACTTTGAAAGAGGTTTCTAGAAGATTTTATAGCAAATTGCTTTCAATTGAGTTTGGGTAAGCACTCTCCCGAGCATAGAATCTTTTCTCAGCTCATAACGAGCTCATTGGCGCTTATTCTACTACGCAGAAAACTCAAAAACAACCACCAAAGTATTTACGAAATGTTCGAGGGAATATTCACCATATGTATGATTTTCGCCAAAAAAAAATCCGAAATTTTTTGATCATAATTTTCATGAACTTTGAATTAATCAAACCTTGTACCGGAAAATCTTACAAGTTTTATAATTAAATAATAATTGAATAAAGCAATAAATCAAAGAAGTCACACGACAAAGGGTCACCCTGTCTGAAACCTCGTTTGGTATCGAACAGCTCGGATAGGTCCTTCCCGATTCTGACGGAGCTTTTCGTGTTGCTTAAGGTCAGCTTACACAGCCGTATAAGTTTTGCGGGGATAACATAAGCAAATAGAGTAGACTAAATTACATATATGGAATGCGATTTAGGATTTTTTTTCCACCAGGATTAAAATTCTCTATGCGTTTGCTAAAATCTATTATATTAGCTTTTTTCGCTGAGAAATGTCGATAAAAAGTTAGCCAGTAAAGAAATGGACAGAGTAAAATGTTTTAAATGAGTTATGAATTGTCTTAAAAATTTATTGTTATTCGACACTGATGAAATTCTATAAGTTTTATAGCCGTTCAACGACAAAGGTACCATGGTGTTTTTCCTAATAATCCTTTAAAAGATCAAAGATTTATATTGAAGTTGTTGCAAAATCTGTCGCTTAGATTTTGGATTTCCAGTAAGAATGACTGAAATACGAAAATGAGTTTGAAATTCTTGTTCTTTGTAACCCGATCAAATTAACTAAAAATTAATATGGAGTTTATTCGACTTTGTTTAAGTAAAAACCAAGCAAGAGCTTTATTTTTCCTTCTAAATACTACTAATATTACATTTTATGCATCGTTGTCGCTACCGGAAGCTTAAGAATAAACGAGTATCGTGATTGTGACCGTAGCAGCAACCTTTGAATTTGCTTCGCGACTCCTTTGGTCGTCACTGCTTTTAACTAAATTTTAAGAATCCAAAATCCATTTGCGTTGTACAAAAAATAATAGTATCTTCACATTCTATGCCTTCAATATTCCTAGCTTCTAATTCATCAACGTTGCCCCGGTGGTAAATGGGCGATGATTCCACTCCACTGCCTACACATTTTCGTTTAACGAGTGCTTTTACTACTGTTGGAATTATTGATATTGTTCAGTTAAATTAAACTTTGGTTTCTCTTCCTTTCCAGATTCCTCTCTCCTTTCCAGATGCTCAAACATATTTTACGACGTTCAGGAGATTAATGATGACAAGAGATGCAAGCTATGCTCAGCAATCGTAGACGATATTTCTGAGAAAACGTTAAGCGACCGTAGATTTTTTTGGCGTTATTATTATTATCCCTATCCGGGCAGCTCATCGACCCCACAGATCGCTATGACCAGGTAGCTAAACCATGGATGTTTCGCGTATAGTTGAGTTTTGAAAAAAAATAAAATAAAAATATGCCAGCGCTGCCAAGATTATTAATCTATCTAGCAAATTTTTTTCTTACTTCAGCCGCCTAAGAAAAAGGGCCTGAAAAAAAATATTTTAATAGATTCCATACTACAGCATCTGCTTAGAAGATAACTCTAAAAATTATTCAAAAATCTTCAAGTTGAAAATTTTATAGGTGGCAAGATCAAACATTTCTGAGCAAACACGTTTAGTGTCGAAAATTTCGAAGTGAAACAATCTTATAGAATTTTTGTATCATGAGTAAAATTTTGGAAAAATATTTACTGCCCATCAAGTCAACGAAAACAACTATTTTCTTGCAATAAAAATTACAACAAAATGGAAAAATAAAAGTTTGAGTATTAAAATATTTTTTAATATAATTTTTTTTTTATGGTGCGCCCAAGTAATTTCATTTTTTTTTTCTTTTAAATAACAATATTTTTCACTGCTTCACTGTGCAAGAGATTTATTTACTCACTCTCGCGCTAACACTTTCACACTCACCAATTAATTTCTGGGATTTTTTTTTACTCTAAATTTTTGCTTTCTACCTCCCAACAGCACTCTGGATTCAACTATGCGTTCACACAGCAAATGTACTACTAAATTAGTAAACTTAAATTCTGTTAGGTTTATAGCACAATGATGTTTTCGATGGATTACTGCAACAAAAAATTAATTACAAGCGGTGCGGGGTTTTTGCACATTAAGCACTCTAGATAACAAATATTGTATTTTTTAAGTTCATATCACTTGTTTACGAGAAAGGTGTTGAATGTATTGTACATACATATGTATGTATATTCGTTTTAGTACTCCAGCAGATATTAGTGAGTATACGGGTGTAGTGATAGTTAAAATTATACAAACCTACACATACATATATATGTATATTTTCAAATAATTATCTAACTCTAATCATACAATATGTTTTTTGATTATTTTTAATGAGCTGCCATTTGGTGATGACTCTACACACACACACGTACACACACACACATCCATACATATGTATATGTATGTAGCTATAGTAGATATTATATCAATACAATATCAAAACAGTTGATTTTGGAAAAATTTAAAAACATATATTTTTTAATTAATTAATTAATATAATTTTTGAAAACATTATAATATATATAAATGTATATCTAACTGCCGCTTTGTAACCTCGAGCAATGAAAATTTCGCATGAATTTTAATTAATTCTGAGTTGCTCCCTAAATCTTATTTCTTCACTTATTTTTGAAGCTTCTCCGTGGTTTTATATATTTTTCTAATAAAAAAAATCCACAATTTATCTTTTATCTATATTGACAATGACGTAGCTGAGCTTTAGCTTTTTCTTTGAGTTAACAGTAAAACTAGCTTTAAGCTTTGACAAATGAAAAGCTTTTCGTTGTAAATGTTTATGTAAAAATAGATTCGAATAGCATAGGCATAGGCTTGCCGTCTTTACAAAAAAAATTTAATTTTATTTTGTTTTGATTTAATTTAATACTTGTTTAAAAGTAATTTTTTAAATAGCAATTTTTGAATAAAATTTAACCTTAGTTTAACCATTTCCAATTTTAGTTAAATTTATTTGCATTTTATTAAATTTATTTCACGATTTTTTTAAAATTATTTTTTTTTAATTTGTTCTTATATTATATTTAATTTAATTTCATTTAATTTAAATCAATGAAATTTAACTTTGTTGTATTTTATTTTATAACGTTTTGTTTCATTTAATTTAATTTAATTTCATATAAATCTTTTTTTTTAATAATTATATTTTACTTTAATACACACTACTTTAATTTTATTAAACTTTACGCCATTGTAATTTTTGTAACTCTTTCATTTTAATTTATTTTATCTATGTTTATTATTATTATTATATTACGATTAGAATTTAAGTGTGCTCTGCGCGATCTATAAAAAATTGTCCACATGGTCGCCAAGTATCGGCCGACGCTTTATCATGGGATTCCTTCAATTTTGTGCTGTAGAAAATTATTAGGGTTGCAGAGCTGAATAAATGAGGTACAATCATCTATAAGAGTGTACGGCCGTAACAAACGCGTCGTGTGCTCTGATTTCTTCAGAGTTATATAGAAACGAGGCGAATGGGTTTGGTATTGACCCAGGACAAAACGAAATATCTACTGCCATCAAACAAATAGTGATCACATTCGCGACTCGGCTCCAATGTCACTGTTGGCAGTCATAACTTCAAAGCTATACATACATACATATGTACATAGTTTCGTATTTCCAAAGGCGCGAAATAGCGTTATTATTGATTCGGCTATAATCGTGTAAGCCGAGCCTACGCCAATAAAGGAGAAGAATTTTATTTTATTTTATTTAAATATTCAATTTTTATTTATTTTTTAATTTCATTTCATTTAATCCATTTATAGTAATTTCTTTATTTTTTCTATTTAATTTTAAAATATCTCATTTATGCTTATTTGATTTAATTCTAATTTATTTTATTTATTAGGTATGTTTTATTAGTTTATTTATTTTTCATTTTAATTTTGTTTTATTTATTTATTAATTTTATT